ACATGTACGTGATGACTACCCACATGTACGTAATGACTACCCACATGTACGTAATGACTACCCACATGTACGTGATGACTACCCACACGTACGTGATGACTACCCACATGTACGTAATGACTACCCACATGTACGTGATGACTACCCACATGTACGTAATGACTACCCACATGTACGTGATGACTACCCACACGTACGTGATGACTACCCACACGTACGTGATGACTACCCACATGTACGTGATGACTACCCACATGTACGTGATGACTACCCACATATACGTGATGACTACCCACATGTACGTGATGACTACCCACATGTACGTGATGACTACCCACATATACGTGATGACTACCCACACGTACGTGATGACTACCCACACGTACGTAATGACTACCCACACGTACGTGATGACTACCCACCTGTCTGTCTCAACTATTGGATCACTATGACAAGGTCCTAGATGCACTAGAAGACAAAAAGAATGCAGATGTAATATATACAGACTTTCCAAAAGCCTTCCACAAGTGTGACCATGGCGTAATAGCGCACAAAATGCGTGCTAAAGGAATAACGGGAAAAGTCGGTCGATGGATCTATAATTTCCTCGCTAACAGAGCACAGAGAGTAGTAGTCAACAGAGCAAAGTCCGAGGCAGCTACGGTGAAAAGCTCTCTTCCACAAGGCACAGTACTCGCTCCCATCTTGTTTCTCATCCTCATATCTGACATAGACAAGGATGTCAGCCACAGCACCGTGTCTTCCTTTGCAGATGACACCCGAATCTGCATGACAGTGTCTTCCATTGCAGACACTGCAAGGCTCCAGGCGGACATCAACCAAATCTTGCAGTGGGCTGCAGAAAACAATATGAAGTTCAACGATGAGAAATTTCAATTACTCAGATATGGTAAACACGAGGAAATTAAATCTTCATCAGAGTACAAAACAAATTCTGGCCACAAAATAGAGCGAAACACCAACGTCAAAGACCTGGGAGTGATCATGTCGGAGGATCTCACCTTCAAGGACCATAACATTGTATCAATCGTATCTGCTAGAAAAATGACAGGATGGATAATGAGAACCTTCAAAACTAGGGATGCCAAGCCCATGATGACACTCTTCAGGTCACTTGTTTTATCTAGGCTGGAATATTGCTGCACATTAACAGCACCTTTCAAGGCAGGTGAAATTACTGACCTAGAAAATGTACAGAGAACCTTCACGGCACGCATAACGGAGATAAAACACCTAAATTACTGGGAGCGCTTGAAGTTCCTGAACCTGTATTCCCTGGAACGCAGGCGGGAGAGATACTTGATTATATACACCTGGAAAATCCTAGAGGGACTAGTACCGAACTTGCACACGAAAATCACTCAGTACGAAAGCAAAAGACTTGGCAGACGATGCAACATCCCCCCAATGAAAAGCAGGGGTGTCACTAGCACGTTAAGAGACCATACAATAAGTGTCAGGGGCCCGAGACTGTTCAACTGCCTCCCAGCATACATAAGGGGGATTACCAACAGACCCCTGGCAGTCTTCAAGCTTGCACTGGGCAAGCACCTAAAGTCGGTTCCTGACCAGCCGGGCTGTGGCTCGTACGTTGGTTTGCGTGCAGCCAGCAGTAACAGCCTGGTTGATCAGGCTCTGATCCACCAGGAGGCCTGATCACAGACCGGGCCGCGGGGGCGTTGACCCCCGGAACTCTCTCCAGGTAAACTCCAGGTAAACTCCAGGTAAACATGTACGTGATGACTACCCACACATACCTGATGACTACCCACACATACGTGATGACTACTTAGGCCTCTCCGCTGGTGTCTCTAGAATAAAACTACAAGTAATAAAATAAATGTAATTCAGAGTTCTTTCTTCCGGTTTACTAGAAGACTTTACTTAATAATTACTAACAATAATCTAACTTTATGTATAGTCTATTATTTAGGTCTAAATCACAGTCTATCATATAATTAATATGTTAATATAATTTTACCACTTACATAGTTATGTAATAAATTAGTCTTTCAGTATACCTAGGCTACATAGCCAGGTATACCACAGGGTGAGTATAACATATATTTAGCTTAGTCACTCCTCATTTTATTATATTAATTTCCATACGAACCCAGTGTCAATATCCTGGAGCTTACTCTAAATTTACAAATGTTATCTATTTTATTTTAGGTTACCTGCGGGTAGGTTGGATTGGGTTATGTTAAGTAACATAAACCTTTATAAATGTACACGAAGCAATATATATATATATATATATATATATATATATATATATATATATATATATATATATATATATATATATATATATATATATATATATATATAATATATTTAACACGGGCGTTTCCCACCAAGGCAAGGTGACCCGAAAAAAGAAGAAACACTTGCGTCATCATTCACTCCATCACTGTCTTGCCAGAAGAGTGCTTACACTACAGTTATAAATCTGCAGCATCAACACCTCTCGTCCAGGACTCAAGTTCGGTCTGCCGCTTTCCCTGAATCCCTTCATAAATGTTACCTTTCTCACACTCCAACAGCACGTCAAGTCATAAAAACCATTTGTCTCCACTCGCTTCCAACACGCTCATGCATGCTTGCTGGAAGTCCAAGCCCCTCGCACATAAAACCTATTTTACTCCCTCCAGCCTTTCCTAGGACGACCCCTTCCCCTCTTCCCACTACAGATATCATTCCATCCTCTCTAAATGTCCGAACCACCTCAACAACCCCTCCTCAGCCCTCTGGACAATACTTTTAGTAACCCCACATCTCCTCCTACTCACAACTGGCTCTTCCTCAAAATATTATCTCCATCTTCCCAATATCTCTAGCCCTCCATCTAATAACGCTCCTCTCCTATTTATAACTGTCAGATTCATTTGTTCCTTAGGCTTTCTCAACTTATTAATCTCACTCAAAAACTTTTTCTTATTCTCAACAAGATTTGCTGATAGCATCTCACCTACTCTCTCATTTGCTCTCCTTTTACATCCTTCACCACTCTCTTAACCTCTCTTTTTCTCACCATATACTCCTTCCTTGTATCGCTTCTACTTTTTAAAAACCTCTCATATGCTAACTTTTTCTCTCTTACTACTTTCTTTACCTCGTCATTCCACCAATCGCTCTTCTTCCCTCCCGCACCCACTTTCCTGTAACCACAAACTTCTGCTGAACACTCCAACACTACATTCTTTAATCTACTCCATACCTCTTCAACCTCATTGCCTGTACTCTCACCAGCCCTTCTTTCTTCCAATAGTTCTTGATATCTTACCCTAATTGCCTCCTCCTTCAGTTTATAAACCTTCACATCTCTCTTACTTGCTGCTTCCATTTTTCTTGTATCCTCTTTTATCTTTTACTCTCAGTTTAGCTACTACTAAACAATGATCTGATATATCTTAGGCCCCTCTGTAAACATGCACATCCTGTCTATCCATCAATCTTTTATCTACCAATACACAGTCCAGCAAACTAATGTCATTACGCCTTATATATACAGAAAGTTTATTTTAATCCCCATTTTAGAGATTGAAGTATTTTTGTCTGGCTAGGTTACCATGCAGCATTAATGACCGTGGTATAATCCATAGAATTTAAACTCGAGTAACCAACCAACAAGCAGCCGTGATTTACCTGACAATAGTCAAGAATTTTTCAGAGTTGTGTGAATATATCACTGGTGATGAGTAAATGAGTTGATAACTGAAATCTTACACTATTTCTTGAGGAGCAGGAACTGCTGCTTACAAGTGTGTGATGATGATGAGCGAGTGTTTAATTATGCTTCATTCTTCAAGCTGGTTAGTAAACCACTTCTAACAGATGGTATAAGAAAATGAGCTCGTGACTTGTAATTTTTATTTTCATCTCTTGATAATGTACATAGAATTTTTCTTTGTTTCACATACGGTATTGTTATGGTTGTTTCCAAAAAAGTAATTCTTGATGACGGTGCTTGAATTTTCACCGTAACATTTATATAAAAAATTTGCGGTGCCAAAAATGCTTTGAAAAGTAAGTCTTTCCTTTTATATATATATATATATATATATATATATATATATATATATATATATATATATATATATATATATATATATTATGCTTGGAAGAAAGACAGACTTTTAGCATGGGACTATACCTGTGTGTCAACATTGGCTGACACCTACATCCGCTACAGTGTTCGGCAGCAGAGAGGTGCTGCAGGTCACAGGGAGGAGAGCAAGATCAGTAAGTACAGAGACATAAGCCATCAGTATCAATTTGTCCCAGTGGATCGGAAAACTTGGGATCATGGGGAAAGAACGCCACACGCTTCCTCAAAGAACTTGGTTCCAGACTCATTGACACCACCAGGAAACCCAAAGGTGGCCACTTTCATGTTCCAGTGCCTCAGCGTGGCCATCTAGAGAGGAAATGCTTGCTGCATACTGTGCTCGCATCCAGCTTCGGAGGAGCTGGAGGAGATCCATAATCGTCGATATATTGTGCTAACGTATCCAGGTTTGTGATTTTTAAATAAATGATCGCTATATTTATATACATTTATTTTTTTACATTAAGCATTATAGTACAAAAGGTACTCAGACATGTTTGTCAACAATTACATTTCGAACATTTCATGCAATTCCTCAGAGCTGGGGCGAGTACTCAAGATACAATCTGTACAAGAATGGTATACAATACCGACAAGATGAAATTAAGACACATGTGCGACATCTGGGTATCTTTATTGTAGACGTTTCGCCATCCAGTGGCTTTATCAATACAAATTCCAGGACATAACTTGAAGACAGTAGAACTATACACAGAAGATGAGGTAATCAGTCCCTCAACCTTGGAGTTGGTGCGAAGAGCACCGTAGGCGTGGAGAATCTCCACGACTACGGTGCTCTTCGCACCAACTCCAAGGTTGAGTTACTGATTACCTGGTTTTCTGTATATAGTTCTACTGTCTTCAAGTTATATCCTGGAATTTGTATTGATAAAGCCACTGGATGGCGAAACGTCTACAATAAAGATACCCAAATGTTGCACATGCGTCTTAATTTCAAGGTACAATCTGGCGTAATTCCTCTAAAATGCAGCACAGACACTGACACAGAAAACTATCTGCTCTGGGATACACAGTTTCCCTGATAAGTATTCTGCCTAACTTCTTTACGAACACAAGCCGAGTCTCTGAACCTATGGGAATAAACATGTAATAAAGAACAAGTTCACTGTATTTTCTAGACAATTGGGTTCCACGAAGCTGCCAGGTACACCTTTTTTATTTCTGCTGTATTGGTGCTGCCACTATGGATGCACATGTCTAGTCCCACACTAACAACTTGCCATCTGTCTAGAGTGGCAACGTAATGCATCTTAATGGTTTTTGGCTGCCATCAGATTCGCGTTGCTTAGGCAGCCCTGTTACTGCTGAACTTCCAGCTCTTGCAAGGCTTCTCTTAATGTTGACTTCTTCATACTTTATGATATTTCCCTATAATCTACAGCAAACAAGTTCATGGCATCCAAATTAATCTGCCAACACGCTGGATGTGATACACCTGTGTTCTGTGAGAACAGGGGAGGCAAGGCGAGGAGCAACACTAGTATGAATAGTCTGAGGATCGAGGTGTGTGCCTAGGGAGGAATTAGGGACATTCAACAGAAAATCTCCTGTATGAGGACCAATGACTGCCTGGAGGAGACCTACTAAGTCCTTCCTCAACACACTTAAGCATTATTGAGGCTATATTCTCCACTACTGGGCTTTCCCTTTGCGAATGTTTGCAGTTGGTAGGAGAGACTGGTCTGATTGAGGAGCCTGTTAGAATTTCCCAATGCCTGGCCCCATCAATGAAATTTGGGTTATTAATTCTCCCCTGTTGTGACTGAAGCATTCAGGGAGATTCGTTGCTTCTAATTCGCTGGATGTCACACATGAAGAAAGGAATGCATTGAGTGCTATCTTTGACATCTTGCGGACACTTATGTTCCCTGGTCTGACTGAAAGTGTAGATTGATCCCACTGCCCGTCTTCCAGAATAAAGTTGAATGCTTTTTTGAATGTTGACTTTAGGAGACTGACATATTCATTTAGTCGTAGGTTGTTATATGAGGGTAAACATCTCAAGATCAATGGTAGCCTGGGGAGGCTCAAGCACTTTGTGAGAACGTACATGACATCATCGACGTTTAGATGGTCTGTTCATGTTTCTGTCCTTTTCAGATCATTCCGCTTGCATTCGAGAATTGCGTCAGAGGCATTAGTTCCCAGACGGGCTGCAAGCATTGTGATATAAATGGAGGCAATGGTTGAGGCACTTGGTACTATGGATCTCACTACATCGATTGTATACTGGTTGGCTGAGATGTCTTAACATTTGGAGGGATTAAAGATGAGCCCCATAGCCTGTACCCATGTTTTCACCTGATCAAGACCTGCCAGTGTGCCATCGTCGGTCTCAAAGTGATTTTGTTAGGCGCTATCAACAGGAGACTTAGTGCTGGTGGACTCCGCTGCTGAACATTTTTCGACGAAGTAACTTCATGTTCCCCAAACATATTCATCTACTCTTTGCTGTGTCCAGCTGAAACGAAGGTGAGGAGACTAGGGAAGTGTGTTCGAGCGGCTATTAATACCACATTTTTTTCGGTAAATCAAATGCATTCTTGAAATTTAATTGTAATGCTGCTTTATCGTCATGCAGCCTACCAGCATAATCCCTTGCCGCATGAACCACTGCTTTGCTGCCTTGAGGCATACACACAAGAGATCCGCATAACAATGGTGCTCTCAAAATACAATAATATTTCGCTTATTTTTTTTATTTACTAAATGTATTAATGCAATATTGTCTATGAACGCAAGTAACCAATACTAAGCAGGTTTTGTATTCCGAGATCTGCCCACAGTAGTGATTCGTGTAAGCTACATTATATAATACAGTAAATACATTAATCAGTAGGCAGAGCTGAAACAAAGTCAACACAGGTTAGATATAATGCTGCTCACTTTAAAATATAATTATATTGTACATACTGTACTATTTTTGTATACACTCTGTCCACTTTAGAATATAGGGCCTCACTGCACAATATCGAAGTTTTACTATAGGGTTCAGCTGTATTGTCGTCCTGTGCAACCGTATTTGACGGTCAGAGGCTTGAGCCTGCAGCACTCAGCGCCCACCACACGGGTTTAAAGCTTCACAGTAACTGATCAAGTCCTGAACAATTACAATTGCAGAACAGTAACTAGCCACACACGCGCACACACACACACACACACACACACACACACACACACACACACACACACACACACACACACACACACACACACACACACACACACACACACACACAAGTTCTTCCCTATAATTCTATTGAGCATCAATTAAGTAAGTTAGGTTTCAAGCCTAATGATTGTATAAGGGTCATCAATGCGTCAATTCACCTAGGTTCACCTAAGAACTGTATAAAGTCATTAATGCCTCAGTTCACCTATACATTAACATCAAAATACTTTTAAATATGCCACAGTTTAGTAATATTGACAAAACAAAACACTGTCAACGTCTTCTGTTAATACACGTTACTATTTTCTTCAGTATAAAAATATACCTATTATATTCGTATGTTTTAAAGATATACATTGTAAAGAAGACTTGTTGGTAAAGTTCAGTATTATTACAATATATTTTCTCAATTTTTAGCGAGAATATAGTCTTTATTGTTTAGTAATATTATTGTGTAGATAATTAACTTGTTTATCTACTTATCTGTCTTGTGTACCATTATTATATTGAATAATACTATGTATTTACATTGGACCTTCATTCACGAAATATATACACATACGTATATGCACTGAGAGTTTAAGTTTAATGCTTGTTTTAGTGATTAACGTATGTATATGAAACCTTAATGACCCTCGTGTAGTTGATGGCCTTTAAACCCAGTTAACCAACTAACATCTTCAGTGTTGAATGTTATTATCATTATTATTATTATTATTATTATTATTATTATTATTATTATTATTATTATTATTATTATTATTATTATTATTATTTCTATAATCAAAGAGAAGTAGTAGAGCGCTGGGCAGGAGATCCAAGGATTGATGGACCACTGAATCAATTGAGTCTTTTTAACTATATATATATATATATATATATATATATATATATATATATATATATATATTATATATATATATTCAATTCTTTTATTTAATTTTTGGACATTAGAAACGTGTATCGTTGAAACCTAGCATTCTGTCGACTTTGTAGCTCGCAGACCTTGTATGGTACATCTATTAGTCATTATTCAATATTCAAAGGTCGTTTTCCTCTCTTATTATGGTACAGTATTATGTGCAGTATAGAGTATCACTATAATTCGCTCTCAGTTTACAGTATTGCACATTACTACACTTTGTCTACTGTGTACAGTATTGAGCACAAGTATACTGCCTTCATTGTACAGTGTTGAGCATAAGTACACTTTGATCAGAATGCTGAGCATTCCAACATTCTGTTTACAGTGTTGAACATGAGTACAATTTGTCTTCAGTGCTGAGCATTACTACACTTTACAGTATACACTGTTGAACATATGCACAGTTTGTCGGTAGTGTTAAACATCGAACATGAGCATAGAGTACAGCGCATTGTTGTTCGCCTCAGTTGTGCCTAGTTAAAGGCACAGAAGAGTATCATGAGGGGAGCCAGGATGAGGAAAGTGAGGTAGACAGGCACTCTGGGGTCGCATTTGGTATCTAGCATGTAGGAATGATCCCAGGTGTTCTCCTCCGGCACCTCCACCAGTGTCTGCTCGTTCGACCAGAAGGACAGTGGTATTAAACAGTTGGTTGTGTTGGTACACACTTGTCTGGAGTCGCTGGTGTCATACACTACTCGGTCGATCGTCAAGTTGAAGAAGAGCTGGTTGGTAGAGATCTCGTTATCGCTGGAGAAGACGAAGTAGTAGGTGCCGGTGACGGGTATATCGTAGACGACCTTGTTAGTCTCGATCCAGCGGTAATTACAGCTTCGGTAAGCCACGAGAGGAAGAGTCATGATGACACCTTCACAGCTGGCTAGGGCCTCCTCGCTGCTAGAGAACGATGACACTTCCTCTTCGTTTGAGCCATCTAGTTTCGTCGTCTGATTGAACATACCTCGCTCGAACTTTAGTCCTTCGGGAAAAAAGATCTGCCCTCCAACCATTTTTTCCACCGAGTCAGTGGGTTTTGTTGGCTTGCGTTTCATCATGTTTCTGCTGTGTTTAGAAGTGGCGATGTCTTCGCCCTCGTCAAATATTTCGAAGGCACCATCATAATCTTCAATGTTCTCCTTCACAGACCGAATGTTTCTTTTTGTTAACGTTTCCGCCTCACCTGTTTTGTTAGGGATTCTTTCTTCACTTCCTAGAGCTCCAGAGGTCTCAGTTAGTGAAAAGGGCAGTACCTCCTCTGATTTAATTCCCAAAATATATTTGATTCTCTTAGGAAGCTGCCTCTTCCCATCCCGTCCTACTAAGTGAAGAATCTGTAAGATTTCTTTCTTGCTTTTGCTCATTTTAACAGCTTGTCGAAGAAGCTTGCGCAAATTCTTACGCCTTTCTTCTGACTGATCAATAAAAATAGGCGTATCTGTTTCATTAGTCTGCAGTTCGGTATCTAGAGCGCCGCCTGCCGCACGTTGGAGTTCATTTAGCACTTCCGTGAGCCCTGGATAGTGCTCACCATCTTGATTACCTAGACTCTGGTCCTCGGAGACGCCTACCAGCTGCTGGTCGTTGAGGCTTGAATGAAGCTCCGGGTCACTATCTCCTGCTGGGTCTTCCACATCCTGGATCACTACTTCTTCTTCTGAGTCTTCTTCACCGATCCAGGCGCAGCGCCGAAGGTTCTCTACGCCCCTCAAGATCATCAGCTGTGCGCCTACCGTGCTGTAGAAATAGTGTAAGTTAATAAATTAGGCTTAAGTAAAGGGATTCGGGAGTTTTGGAAGTGGAAAATACAATGCCTGCATATTGAAAGTGAGGTCGGAAGGCTGTGCAAGAATGGTTGAGGGGCTGATTACCTCATCCTCTGTACATAGTCTTACTGTCCTCAAGTTATGTCCTAGAATTTATATTGATAAAGCCACTGGATGGCGAAACGTCTACAATAAAGATACCCAGATGTTGCACATGTGTCTTAATTTCAGGTCGGAAGGCTGCAGTTTGTGAGTTACCATTAGTCCATGATGTCTGTGCTATACTGGAAATATAACTAAAGACAAGTAATGTGCAAGCAATGCATAAACAACAAAATTATATGGGTGTCTATAGAATTTTACGTACGTAATCAATAGTTTGACAGTAGGCCATAGCCGTAATAACCGTGATCTAAGAATAAATATAAATATACCATTAGTACAGTTCAGGGTGGTGGTGGTGACGGTGGTGCTGACAATGGTGGTGCTGAAGATGGTGAAGCACCAAGATAAAAAATGGTTTCTAAACTGCTTTAGTTTCCATTTTAGTGTGCTATGTAAAGCATTGATTGGAATAAGGATAAAAAAAAAAATAGACAAATCCAGTGTTACAAGGAACACGACTGTCATATTTCATTAGTAGTGACTATTATAACTTACATAGCTTAGTACTGCATAAGGTAGATGACGCAATTAAAATGTGGTATGTAGATATAAGGTACAGGTCACCATCCTAACTCAAGGTAAAGATCACCCTCTGAGCTCAAGCTAAATGTCACCATGTTGTTTCTTAAATTAAAGGTCACCCCTCCTGCTCAGGGGATCTACAGAATATATATATATATATATATATATATTATATATATATATATATATATATATATATATATATATATATATATATATATATATATATATATATATATATATATATATATATATTCCACAGAACAAGCAAAATATTTACGAACACTAATCCCCTCAAGGAAGGTTCCTTGATGTTGGTGAGGGGCTCTTGATTTAGGGAATTGGATCTGTGCTCCAGTTCCCCGAATTAAGCCTGAATGCCTTCCACATCCCCCCCCCCCAGGCGCTGTATAATCCTCCGGGTTTAGCGCTTCCCCATGATTATAATAATAATACGAACACTAATCTCTGAGACTGAGACTAGTGTATGTGAATATTTCGCTTGTTCTGCGAAGTCTAAACATTCTAAAATCTTTCTTTGGTCGATGCATTCTGAGAATGATATGAAAAACTCCACCACCGTCCTGGCTGCTGACTGCTTTGGGATCAACACTTAGCTTGGCTGGTCGCCAAAGTACTGGACCAGAATGGACTGGTGTGTATAATACTGCGTATCTTGTTTTAAGGTTCGTAGGTTCGAGTCACCCTCGGCCTGAGATTAGTGTTTGTATACGTATGTAAATCTTTCTTCTTTCAACACACCGGCCGTATCCCACCGAGGCGGGGTGGCCCAAAAGGAAAAACGAAAGTTTCTCCTTTTACATTTAGTAATATATACAGGAGAAGAGGTTACTAGCCCCTTGCTCCCGGCATTTTAGTTGCCTCTTACAACACGCATGGCTTACGGAGGAAGAATTCTGTTCCACTTCCCCATGGAGATAAGAGGAAATAAACAAGAATAAGAACTAGAAAGAAAATAGAAGAAAACCCAGAGGGGTGTGTATATATGTGCTTGTACATGTATGTGTAGTGTGACCTAAGTGTAAGTAGAAGTAGCAAGACGTACCTGAAATCTTGCATGTTCATGAGACAGAAAAAAGGACACCAGCAATCCTACCATCATGTAAAACAATTACAGGCTTTCGTTTTACACTCACTTGGCAGGACGGTAGTACCTCCCTGGGCGGTTGCTGTCTACCAACCTACTACCTATAACGTATATAAATATATATATATATATATATATATATATATATATATATATATATATATATATATATATATATATATATATATATATATATTATATATATATATATATATATGGTGAGGGAGCAGTTGGTGGGATGATGGAGTGAAGAAGCAGTATGTGAAAGATTTTGCAATATAAAATTGATATATAAAGAGCAGATTAAATGGAGCATAAAAGAGATGCTACGAGAGTGACGAGGTATCAGCCACTCAGATGTTGTACTAGATTGTTGGTACTCTAAACACAGTGGCTTCATCAGCCCATACAAAGGAGAATCTTGAAGATAAGGAGGAGAATGAGGTAATCAGTCCCTCAACCTTGAGTCGCATGTGTGTATAGAATACTGCCGTATTCTATTCAAGATTGATGGACTGACCACATCGCCTCAAGGTTGAGGGACTGATTACCCCATTCTTCTCCTGATCTTCAAGATTCTCCTTTGTATGGACTGATGAAGCCACTGTGTGGCGAAACGTTTCCTCAAAAAAGATACCCAAGACTTGCACATGTGTCTAATTTATCAACATGTCGGTTCGCTGAACCATTCA